GGGGGGGGGGGGGGCAAAACACATGTTTTGGTCCCCCACTCTCACAACTGGGGGGGAGGGGGGGACACAAGCGCCCCCCTTGCCCCCCCCCCCCCCCCCTCCGGTTGGTACGCCCCATGCTACCAAGACAATTCTATGATCACTTGTTGCCGCAACGACATGCACAAATAATGTTAGGTCAAGGATCGATGAAAACAAAATTAGTCAAGAACATAATTTACATGCGTTAAAACGAACACAACCTGATCAAGTGAACAAGCTGTGCAAATGTCGATGAAGTCTCTACATTAAGAAACATTTCTACAATTACTATCAGGCACACACTGAACTCAGTCAATTTCAGGGAAATTAAAATCAACCCCAATATCTACGGGACGCTGATTATAACGCAGTGTTACGAAATTCAGAACACTGTACAAATATTGAATGAGCATGAAATCTGCATCTTGAGGTCTATAACAAACGTCTATCAAGATATAAGAACATTGCTAACTTAACTCGAACAAATCATATTTTAATATCAGTCTGTAATTCAACTCCCGAGGCGAACTTTTTTTTTTTTTTTTTAATTTGCACAAGGCACCTTTTTTTTTTTTTTTTTTTACAAAGATTCAGTTAAATTCAGTTTTTTTTTTACAAAGATTCATTAAAGAGCTCTGTATTGAAAGCTGGTCACTAGTTATATTACTTGAAAGCCACGTTTCGGTACCTAGAATAACCAAGATCTACGCACAGCGCGCACAACACGGACCATACTGATGGAAGGCCGATTCCCTATAAATAAATACTTTTGAATCATCCTTAATATATTGCAGCGCAGTACGTGATATATTAGAAAGTTCAGGCGTCATACACATGACTGATTCGAAACAGAAACGACAAAAGACTCAAATAAAATGAGCGACGCCTTTTTTTCTGTTAGTTAAAAGGACAGCTTTTAAATTCAATGGCACAGCCCGGACGCAAACAATTGTCCCAAGTAACTCGATTGAAATGAATATGGTGCGAATAATTTCAATCGAAACCTAGGCGTATTACCTTAATTTGGCACACGTGGCACTCTTATACTTGCTACCCATATATTTTAAAAATATATTTTAGTCAATATTTAATCCCAATAATAATTATTATATCAGTAGCCTAGCCTTCCGTAGTTGCTGTGTATAGCTGTCCCAATGGAGCTGCCCCTTTAAGGGCGTCATGCTTCAGTCGGCCCGAACTACTCCCAAATAAACAAAATTACAGAAGGACGCATAAGATTCGTCTTTAAGAGCGGAACGCGCTAGCTAAACATTTAAACCACACGCTAATTCCCAAGCCGTGAAAACGTGTCTGCGTGGCTCAATAAACAAAAACAAAAAAAAACAAAAGTGTCTGCGTGGCTTAGTGATTAACGTGTCTGGCTCGCAACCGAAGAGTCGCCCATTCGAATCCTGCCTCCACCTAAAATTCTTTCATTTTTTTTCTTTAGAGCAAATGAAAAACTTTATAAAGCAAAATCATTTCAGACAAGCGGCGACCTTTAATTCGCATTGAATGTCGTGTTTTTAATCACTTTCATTCAACGCGTGACGTTACGTTTCACGTGAGCGTTGTGGGTTGTTTGAAATCCCGCGCAAAGTCCTGTGTTTGTGACGTCATGACCCATTGACCAATCAGGATTTTCCGTCACACGCCGCCGATGCCAGCTTTTCTGCGACACGAGCTCCTTAAAACTATCACTTTAAAACTGAATTGTGCCACGGTTCGCATCCGAGGGTTATTCCTGTGTAGCCACTCTGCACCTCAGGCGCAAACTTCCCCTCTGACGTGCTCTTTCCTGGCGAGAAAGCGAGATAACAATAAATGCCAAACTGCAATTTCGTGTTTTTTTTGTTTTTTTTTTACGCGGCACAAAGGATGCTTTTCACGATAAGACTGACGGGGAAAGCCGAGATCCCGACTCTGCATTTCCGAAGGCGTCAATCTGAGTCGCGTACCAAGTTCTTGTCCTTTCACTATTTATTACCCTTCGCGGTAGCACGTGAGTCTGGAAATTCTATGCTACGTTTACCCCTAAGCTGACAGCGTAGTGGTATCTACGTGCTCGTTCGGCCTGTCATACGTCTAACTTTCGGCCCGTAATCACGCCCTCGCCTATACCCACATGCAGACAGTGGGGTCACATAATAAAAGGAAAGCAGTTGATTGGTCCGGCGAGTGCGTAGCTGCAACTGCACTGTCAGCTCAGGGGTAAACGGGCTATAATGAGGTAGCAACTTGAGAACTTCCAAACAGTCGAAATTTCTTTGGCATTCATCATCAAACCGTTTGCCGGTGCACCGGTTAAAGTTATGATTTTGCGGGGTGGACCGACTGCGGTTCGTATTCACCATAAAGTGTTCGATTTGAGTTTTAGTTTGGTGCATTGGTTCAACTCCCTGTTAAAGGGATCGTAACAGCCCCCCTCTGGTATGCATGTTAGCTGTCTATGCTCGATCATTGAAAATAGTCATAACAAGGCAAATGTACACCATACGACGTTCCATTCGGATCATTTCGAATACAGAGTTTAATGCGCAAGTTGTAATAATTAAAAGTGTAAAATTATACATTCGGTTCGTTTACAAGGTGCTGACACCCTTTTTTTTATATGCACAACAAATTAGCACTCGGGCTTTTAAGTATGACGTCCAATGTCTGGATCCCTTTAGTGTTGATGCTGTTGTTGTTTTTCTTTAGCATGTTAGAACTGTAATTTTTATACACATATTTTCTCTCTTTCAGAAAGCGATGACAACACGTCCTTCAATTAAATTTCATTCCAATGGTCAGGGCAATGAAATGGGGCGTTTTACCAGAAACCAACAAATTAGCACTTTTCTGAAACTCGTTCCAGGTTACTTGGTCATTCGAATCGCTGTTCACGCTCCTTCACGTACACTCAGGAAACGATTTCTTAAGTCTCCTTGTCACCATCTCAAAAGCAAGTATCCGTCAGTAAACAGCTAATTGTGCTTTAATAAAAAAAGTAGTCAAAGCGGTCTAAAAAGAATTGCGGACGAGAAAACGCGTGGTAGACGGTATATGCTGCACGCAATCCTGGGTCAAAGGTACCCTGTAATAGGATATTCAAATCTACGACAGCTGTAACATTGTGTCCTACACAACGCCACAATTTCTGACCTAAAAATACTATTTCAGTCCGCCCGTTCGCGGAACGAAAAGTATTTTATCTCTATTGCAGTAACGGCAAAACCACCGAAACAGCTGTTCGCCCCGAGCAACATGAGAATCAATTAATGCAAGACGCACCTAATTTGTTAGGCCATTACGAGGTACGGTTGTCCTTGCGGCCCTATCGTTGCTGTTGTTTTCATTGCCGTGGATACAACGAACGCTACTATACCCTCGCTCTACTTCGGTGGCCATCGCGCCAGCCGCCAACAAAATGAAATCAGGGAAGCCACAAAAGACAAGCAGAAAGCGCATAAGGACTTGCCCAATATCTGTTCCGGTCAGTACAGTGTTTGCCCGTTATGTGCCGTCCGTTTTGTTGTAGTCGTGAATATTGTCGCTTTGCCGTACAGCCTGCCCTTACTTTACTGCATTGCCCCTACTTTACAAGTATAAAAAATGTATTACTCAATATAAGAAGGGTGTAGCCAAGGATGCAGATCTCCTCTACGCCCTTTCTACACTCCTAAGGGCGTAAACTTTTAGTGTCGTGTCACCTTTGTTTTATTGAGAGTGCATGTCTATAATAAAGAAGAGTAACAATCGATATCCGTTAGTGGTCGAGCTAAACTGATTAAAAAACAACCGATGGTTAATGTTCCGAGGGCATCGCGGGGCGATATGCAAGTACTGGTAATGTATATAGTAGGCTCATTCAATGTACCTTCCCATCATGCACCAGCTGCACTTGGTACGCACCGCCGTATTCAATTTACGAGTTTGGAATATGAAAACGCAGCCCGAATTCGTTCTGAACTTTTCTGCACCACGCTACACGCGTCTGTTCCGGCGCAGTTGGGTGCAGTTAAATCGAAGAAGCCCAAATGACATCAGCAATAACTTACATGTTATAAGTTCAAAGCAACAAAAGGAGGTGCAGATACGAGCTGATAAAGGACAGGTGAGAAAAGTAGAAGTCAGGTTTAATACTTAAAGCAAATTTACAAAATAGCAGCGTTCGACACCAAAAATAAAAATTAAGAGCGAATAACATAAAAATTAAAAACAAGGGCTAATAGAAGAAAGTTTAAAGAAAAAGTAAATTAGAAAGGAGACATTAATGAATGAGCTGCATTGACTTTCCCGACAGTTTTGTACACTGTTGAAACGGAATCACGTACTTGGGCTAATTCTGGGTGTGGCTACCTGATTGTTCGTAAAAAGGAAGCCAGGCCATTCTGTGTTTGAATGCGAGGCCAGCTCTTCGGTCAAGTACGTTTTTGTCTGGGAAAGGTGGTGGGTGGCGACAGTTGTGGTTTTTCCTGTGCTTCCGGATTAAAGGCTCAGTGACTACAGTGCATCATTGGATAATACGCAATGCCTTCTCCAAGTTAAGGTAGGTTCTCGTTGGACCACAGATTCATCACATCACTGTCCGCGGTTCTCACCGCAATCCAGTTCTTCATACCCCTCACCTGATCTTCGGTGAAGTGGTTTTTCCAGTCTCCGATTACGCCCTTCCGTACAGAGTTTCTCATGAAAAGTATTTTCGCCAATAACCTGAAGGATACCTCGCTTGCTTCCTTGGGCGTTCTATTTTTCACCGGCGACGACTCGGTTGACGCCTCGGGAGGCGGCATAAATAGAAAGTTGCTTAACGTTTTCTTCGTGCTTTCACTGCTGCAGACATGCAGTATCCGTGCTACGATGCCCGGATCGTTTCGTAACCACTCGCCGTGGTCTTTTCCTTAAAATTCTGCGATTTTCAGCACCCCGCTTTTCGTGTCTTTCTTGAGGTCCTCGTAAGTCATAAAGAGGACGTTGGCGTCATTTCGATGCTCGTACTAAGAGCGGAGGCTCTCAAAGTAGTCACCGAACTCTACCTTCCCTTCTAGAAACATGTCCAAGAACTCCTCGAAGGTTCCCTCCTCCAAGGCGTAGGCAGGCGCGACTTTGATAGCGTAGAGACAGGAGACGCAGCAATCGTAAGGATTCCTCGCGAGATACAGGTACTTGGCCTGCTTCGAATATGGTTGTTTCGGGAAAGGAAGGTGCGTCTTAATGGCGATCGGTCTGGGAGTTCTGCCAATGTGTCCGCAAGCCTCCAAAAAGGGCATCTTCGACCAGAAGTCTTGACTGTTCACGGGGGGAACTCTGTCGTTGAAGATGGCGCACAGAATGTATTGGAGCCAGGTTGTCCCACGCTTCGGATAGGTCACGACGAACACGTCCTCTGGTTGCGCTTCGTAGGAAAGCGCCGAGCGAACGCAACCGTCATCAAAACAGTAGCTCAGGAATAGGCCTTGAAGCATCCTGTAAGCTTGACGATGTTTCCTGGTGTCCTTGTCGCTCTGCATCGTCTTTGTTAGTCGCCGTACCTACCGTAACCGGAAGAAAGCATTGGGCGTGATCAAAAGGCACGGAAGTAGACCGAATTTCGAAGTTATTTCATACTCCTATATGCTATTCAAGCAAGCCCTGAATAAAAAGCAGTTACCCTCGCTCTGCATAAAATTTTTACTAATAGAGGGGACCCACGTATTCCTTGATCCGGTAAAAAATCAATAAAAAAAATAGAGAGGAATGAGTCACATGGGATAAGCTGACAAGGAAAAAAAATCGCAAAATTCAAACTCTACTGGCATGTACGCCGTATAATGCCGAAGCAACCAGCCCCAACGCTTTGGGTCCCCCGAGGAGAATGTGGCATCTAAAACACCATATGCGGTCTTGTGCGCAGCAAGGACGACGACAAAAGGAAGGAACAGGACACAACAAGGCGCACAAGATTGCATAAGATGTCAAACCAACTCGCCCAAACAACCACTCTTCCAAAACACCAAGCTTCTTGGTGTACCGAAAGCTTTACAGTCCCCTATTCTAATACTCTCTAATAAATCAGCACGGGCACATTCCAGAAGTTATATATAGTCGGTGGCAGATTAATAAGCTCCCACTCGAGCGCGAGCATATTACCCAGTTTACCATATATTATGCTTGAGTTGTTTGCATAATGAAGCTCCGCATCTTGAACTCAGGGACTCTGGGGTCCACCCCTTCATCTAGATTTATACTTAGTAACTTCCCTTTCCCCATCAACCCCCACAATCCTTTCCCTCTTACCTCGGGAACATCAACCCTAGACAAGTGAACCTTTCATTAAATAAGACATGTTTTCTCCCTCTCTCTCTCTCTCTCTGTCTCTCTCTCTCTCTCTCTCTCTCTCTCGCAAATTGCTGAGTGAGTACTGCACCGGCAATGCGATCGGAACACCAATTATGACCTTCCGTTCGTTGAAGTCCAACCAGTGCGCCGCCATGTAGCAAACAGAATAATTGTATATGTTCCTAATTTCCACTGAGAACGCAACTGAACCAAACTGGTGGACGATTTTTGCCACTGAGGCATGATTTCTGGGGCGCATTGCCGCTTGCCATTCTCATTATGCAAATTTAATGAGGAAACCGAAATGATTGGTGTACAGTGCCTTGCGTGAGCTTCTAAGAGTGCAGTGTCTTAAAAAAAATTACACTTTTACTTCGAAGACCGAAAAAAGGGGAGGAGGGGGGGGGGGATTTTGTGGCAGGAATTATAATAGCGAATTCAGAAATACTGCTTCCGTGTTCAATTCAGACGGACTTCGACGCGACTTCAAGTAAACCTACCAAGTCCACACAAGTTCTGAAGGTAGCCAAAGGTGATTGAAACAACTTGTAAGGGAACTTTGCGGGTACCTCAACGTGGCAGTTGAAGTTCCGCCAATAAAATTATCCTATTACCAGGGTTCCGAAGACAAGAAGTTCCCAAACGAAAAGTCGGCTGCTATTCTGAGGCCTCCAGGAGGTTTGTTTTCAAATGCTACAAAATACCATTCCAGAAACGGTCTTCTGACCGCTGAGCGTTCGTATGGAGCATACTTTGCTCGCTTTCCGAAGCGACGACCAGCTAGGCTGTGCGAGGTCGGACGCAGAGCTCTGGTTTTTTAATGTTAGGTAGCCGCCTGGTCAAACATCAGACAAGTAAACATATAACTGAGCCCACCCCAAAACAATAAGAGATACGGATAAAAAAATACTACGATATGGTCATCATATTCTGCACCACATGTGACAATCCCCCGAAAAAGCAAAACAAAACAAAATGAAGTGCGGCAGTATAATCCGTGTTAGATAATGCAATGGCCTGACATAAAATAAATAAATAAATAAATTTCGGATAATCAACAAACGTTGTCCACGTAAAGGTTTTTCTTGCCTTCACGCGTAAGAAGATAAATGCAAATACCCCAAAGATGCTACAGATGGCTAACACGATAGCGAATTTATAAAAGGACAAAGCAGAACAGGCGGCCTGTAACTTCTTCTCTTCAGATATTTAATCCTATATAGGCTGTGCACTTTCAAGTTGAATAAGGTAAATGGCGAACGCAACGACCCCATGGGCCGATCAGAGCAACGGAGCGAACGAAGCAAGTGACGCGTACCTCTTTACGACTTGAGTGCACTTCTCCCCGGCGCCCTGATTCACTTGCCGTATTGTTCGCCTTGTTTCGGGTTATGCTGAAACCGAGTATCGTGGAGCTGCGAAAGTAATCTACTATCCTGTCGGTTCATTGTTCACCAATCTGGGGCTCATAGAGCCCCAGATTGGGGAAGCCTCGTTTCACAACCGGCGTGACATCGTGATAGTATTGATATTGATTCCCGTCATCTCACTACCGGAAGGTCTATGAAAAAATACTTCCCTGGGAAATGTACCGCGTGATGGTCGGATATTACGGCGGTTTATTTAGTTTTCGCGGAACTTGATTGAAAGCCGCGCCTTGTGTTCCACTAAATCTTTACATACTCGCGAGCAAAAAGTGAGCAATCCTGTATTACTCAACATCACAAATAGATTTCACACTGTAACGCCGCCACTACAATTTGTATTTCTTCTTTAATTCAATTTATCGGACGCTTAAAAGTGTAAGCAAAAAAAGTGGATTTTTGTTTTCCTCAGAATTAGTATATAAATGAATAATAAACATAAAATCAACTTTAATTTTTTTGTTGTTGTTGTTGTTTTTACGTACAATTACTTTGATGCTAATAAGGTCACTATAGTTGCTAAGAAGAAGAACCAAAACGTTGCCAGAGGAAATGCATGAGCTCTTTAGTGACATCCTCTTAAAAGCAAACATGAGGGTATTCAGCTTTCTGTTTGATCCGCATTTTGCGGCTCAGCATCCACCAGATTTCTTGCACATATGAAAATGGTCCGTCAAGATATTTGCCTGGCCGCTAACCCCTTTTCTCAACAACGACAAAAAAAAATTAAAAGAAGATACGCCAGAATTAGCGGAAAATCAGCGGAACTTAATAGGAGACTGGATTCTTACCTTTTTTTTTTTTTTTTCAGGTTTCGTTTGAAAATGAGATGAGGTTAGCAGACAGCGCTGGGGAAAATTTTAGTTTTGTGTAACTTTGCACTTTCCGAGCTGAATTCAATCCGATCGATCTAAAAAGACACGGTGCGCGAAAAACATTAATGCGCCTAACACCACTAATAATGTATCGTTAAAAAAAACCTGCTACTTTAGGTAGCACTATTACCTGCAGATATGCGTTCGATTGGCACATAAACACCAGTGTGTTATTTCCTTCTACCACGCATCTGCGTGAAACTCGCAAGGCAGGCGAGCTTGTTTGGAAACGACAACAGCTGGAAGAGGGCAAAGGAAAAAACAACATTCGTTTTCTGTTAAAAAAGAAAAAAAAAACAGAAGGCTCTGCCGCCTCATGCAGGTTGCCGAATAAAAATCAAGATGACCTCAATCGCAACTAAAATTACGATTTAAATCATGAATTAAATCAGATCGGTTTTACTGTGATCATTGAAATCAAACCTGTCCCGACAAAATAACCCCTATTATACTCCGCGACAACTTTTCTTGGCAATGCAGTGGAAGGTACGTCCCGCGTCCCCTCTCCCATTTTGAGCGTACGCAGGCTCTCCTCCTCTCCCATTTCCAGGGAGAGGAGGAGAGCCTGCGTACACTCAAAATGGGAGCCGGGACGCGGGACGTACCTTCCACTGCGTTGCCAAGAAAAGTTGTCGCGGAGTATAGAACGCTCGTTTTGACAAAAATCCGGCCCTGTCTTTAATTTGCCAGCGCTGGGGAGAAGGGGAGAGAGAGGGGGAGGAGGTGACGCGTGCGACGCTCTCATTCGTCCGAAGCGCTTACGTCAGCACGCGTGAACTTCTCCCTCTCTTCCTGGTGTTGGCAAACTGACAGACACCGCCGAGTTTTCGTCAAAACGAGCCCTTTCGTTTTCGTGAAAGGAGCGTCTCACATCTGGCGTGGAGCTAGAGAGGAGGAGGTGCCGCGGCGCGTTGGAATGCAAGCGTGCTCAGTTGCCGCTCTGCCGTCGCCGGTTGTTCTTCGCTCTGGATTTCCATAGTAGTGGTGCGTGGGCTGTGATGTATACGTCTGTAGTTAAAACGATGTATGCGGTTCCCTTCATGAGTAATATGGATGCGGTTCCTTCCACAAGTGGTATGGATGTGGTTCTTTCCACAAGTGATATGGATGACCGTATCCAACGGCGTCGACCAGGGTTGTAAAGTACATATGTACAAGTAAATGGAATTCGGTATCTATGTACGTTCGTTGTACCTCAGGTACAAACCTAGGTACTTTCATTTCTCGGTATCTGTATTTGTATCTCAGGTACATTTTCCAGTAACTCGTAACTAAGTGAAGTCACTTTTTACAGGTCCTTTTCTATTCACTTCGTCGAAACGGTAGAAATTATAAATCTTGAAGCATTGACACACTACCATGTGCAATGATTAACGTTGAGTTGGGTACGACCCGGGAGGCACTGACTTGAACGAACGACGTTTTAGCGAACGAAGCCCCGCCCATAATGTTTCATCGAACGACACTTTAGCGGATGGCGGTGTTCAATCGAGCGGACGGTGGATTAGCGATGCCGTTCGAGCGACACCAATGTATTGAATCGCTTCGGATTTCCGTTTAAGGAAAATGGCGACCTGCTTCCTTCATCTCAAACCGAAATCGACTTCGTGGCGTGCTTGAAGCTCCAAGATATGAGCAGTTTCTCTTGCCTGTATCTTGTCCTGGTGGTGGCTCTCTTCTGCCGTAAATACAATATAAAGTATAATTGAAAATAAATTATAATTACAATCGTAAAGCGATGTAACATCGCCGTATCTAATACAGTTTCCACTCAATAAATCGGATACAAATTTTGCAAGTATCGAAACTGAAAAGAGTTCTAAAACAAAAAAAGCTTATTTTTCTTTTCATTGGCGAAAGAAAAACAGAAACTAGGAAGCTTGAAGCCTTCCG